CCCCAGAGCTGAGCTTTGCACAGCAGGGCTGGACCAGAGTCAGGAGCCTAAAAGCACTGGACCCCCAAAGCACTGTGAGCCCTCCTGAGCAGTGTCCTCTCCCTGTCACCTACAGCTCTGGTGACACAGGCTGGGCTGGCCAGCTGCGAGGAATGGGAACTCTGGGGTCCCATCCTGACCCCCCCAGGTGTGTTGTACCTCCCCACCACCTCTGAGCACAGCTGCTTTGGGGTCTCAGTTGCTGCCTCCTGCCTTGGTGCTGCAAACTCAGTGCCTGCTTCCCACGGTGCTCTCCCAGTGCTCCTCACCAGTCCTTCCAGTGCTCCTCACCAGTCCTGCCCATGCTCCACACTGGAGAGGGTCCAGGTACGATCCCTGCCAAGCATAGGGCTCCAGTTTGCTTTCCACAGGCTCCCTGGAGCTTCACTCTCTCCTGCAGGCTTCACGTCCTTCTGAGCCCCCCTCACCCTTCTGGGAAGGGCCGAGGACCCCCAGCCCCTCCAGGTGCTGCATGGTGCTCCAGCTGTGACTGGGACACACCCAGTCCCAGAAAAGCACAGCCCTGCACCTTCCTCCTGCCCCAGGGCTTGTCCCCTCACCCACCACAGCTCTGCCCTGGTTCCTACTGCTCCTCCCGGCCTGGGAGCCCCAGGTGCAGCCCCACGCCAGGCTGGGGCAGCTGCAGCACTGTGTCCCTGCTCCATCTCTCCTTTCTGCACAAGGAGCACAACAGCAGATGCCTTTTCACACTCGGAGCTTTTCCCAGAGGCCAGCTGCCCTGGAGGCTGGTGTTGTCTCTGTGGGGGTTGTGCAGCCCGGCCCTGGCTGGGTTTGTCAGAGCATGAGGGGTGTGTGTGTGTTTTCTACCGTGGTGTGTTCCTGTAAATAGTGTAAGTTATTGTGCTCTCCTGCTGTACGTTTTTCAATGGCTGTTTGTTTCTTGCCTTTTTGTCTTTGCAAATAAAATGTTCTTGACATGAAGGGACGGAGCACAGAGGTGGCTTTGAGGAGGGAAAGGGCACAGCCAGGAACCTCCCATGCCCTCCTGTGCCCATGAGCCTGGCCCAGGGGCTGGGGGATAGATGGGGAGGGGGGACTGTGGCTGCATCCCTTCAGGATGGAAGGGAAAGTGTCCCTCCCCATGATGGGGGATTACACATGGTGGCCCTTAAAGGTCCCTTCCACCCCAGACCATTCTGTGATTCTGTAATGCTGTTGGCTGGGAGAATATTGGACAAGAGGAAACGGCCTCAAGTTGTTCCAGGGGAGGTTCACGTTGGATATTGGGGGAAATTTCTGCACGAAGATGGTGCTCAGACCTTGGCACAGACTGCCCAGGGCAGTGGTGGAGTCACCATCCCTGGAAGTGGTCAAAAGACCTGTGGATGTGGCACTTGGGGACACAGTTTCACAGTGAACATGGCAGTGCTGGGGGAGTGGTTGCACTCAATGATCTTGGATGGCTTTTCCAAACAAACATTTCCATGACTCTCAGGTGACCTGGACCCCTGTAGGCAGCAGTTCCTCAGGCAGACGGGGCAGAACTGATCTTAGTGGGGGCAGACTGAAGGGCTGAGGTGGTGGAAGGGGCTGAGGGGCTGCCCCTCTCCTGGTCAGGAGGAGGAGGAGGATGCCCACCAGGCAGTGCCAACCCCTGCAGGAGTCAGAGCACCCCTGAGCCTGCAGCATCGCATCAATGCCCTCGGGAAGGGGAAGGGGAAGGGGAAGGGGAAGGGGAAGGGAAGGGAGCGGGGCAGTGGCGCGGGGCCGCCGGCAGGGGGCAGCGCTGGCTGCGCCACCGCGGAGCGCGGGAGGGGACACGGGGTGAGAGAGGGGGGTGCGGGGTCCCACCGGGATGGGGGGTCCTGCCGGGGGTGGGCGGTGCAGGGTCCCGCCGGGATGGGGGTCCTGCCGGGGACGGAGGGTCCCGCCAGGGGCTCAGGGTGGTCTGTAGCTCACAGCCGCTGCGGGCTGTTGCGGTGGGGGATGTGTCACCGGTGTCACCGTGCGGTGCCCGCTGAGCCCCCCGAGGTGGCCGCTGCCGGAGCCCAACGGCGCTGGGCAGCCAGCCGCCTCCAGGCTGGGGAGGGGGACAGCGACCTGTATCTGCAGCCTCTCGGGTCCGGGCTCAGCTCCTGCAGCCTCCATTTCCCTTTCCCAGCCAGCGCTGCTGGAGCGCCTCGGGCTGTGCTCCCTCCTCCCGCACCCCCTGCCCGGGCACCGCTGCCCTGACACCCTGGGGCACAGCCCGCCTCCAAACGTGCCCGCAGTGCTGGTCCCGAGCAATGCCAGGCCAGCTCTGAGGGGTCTCTAGGGGCTGGCAGTGCCCACAGGTGTCCCAGCCCCCAGCACTATGCCCTGTGTCACCCTCAGCCTGTGACACGGCTGTCACCTTGGCGTGAGCCTCCGTGATGCCGCCACGGCCAGTGGCAGCCCTGGGCTACAAACGTGGGGTGTCGTGGGCCCAATTCCCCCTGCCAGGGCAGGTGACATCGCTCCTGCTCCCACCTGGTGCCTCAGCCACTCGTGGCACCACAGACTCGTTTTATTGACAGTCACCATGTCACACTCATGGCCACCTCTTTCTTGCTGCAGTAAGATGCCAAGCCTGGCTGGCAGTGACCTGTGCCCTGCACCCCACATGCCTGAAGGTGCACTGGGCCAGCAGCAAGGGGACAGCAGGGACACAGCCCTGGGAGCTGCTGCAATGAGATGCTGGCAGACCCGTGCCACCCATCCTCAGGCTGAGGGAGGAATTGATCTGAGCCCACCAGCCTTGTGGCTGCTTCTGGGTAGGGGAGGGTCCCATTCTGCACCTTGCTGTGCCCCATGGCTTTAGGGAGGCCTTGGGGACAGCTGAGGAGAGGTTTATGCCCTCTGAAGCTCCCAGCACAGTGCTGCAGCATCTCTGGGGAGTGCTGCCCATGGTGATCTCCCCAGGGGCCATCACAGGGCCCAGACTGTGGCACCTCAGAGGACAAAGGGGCAGGAAGAGCATTCCTGCAGGCAGGAGAGAGCAGGAGGGTACCTGCAGGGGGCTGGGGAGGACAGCTCACATGCTCTGGCCCCCTGATTCCCAAAGGCAAGGGAAGGAAGGGGCAGGCTCAGGAGGGCACGGAGGGCTCCTGCTGTGCCAAGCACACATCAGAGGCTGAGGGTGTCACCCCCTGGGAGCCCCTCTGCTAGGGTGGCACTGCCTGGGCACATGGGCTGGCTGTGGTGCTTCCCTGAGGTCAGTCTGCAGGGAAGGGACACCTGGACAAGGGTGCTCAGGGTGGTCTGTGCTACACAGCCCTGCCAGTGGCAGAGCTGTGGGTGGGTGGGCTGTGCACAGCCCGGGCAGGAGATTCCCAAATGCCACAGGGCCACCTCATCACCCCTTGGCTGGTGGCCCAGGGGATAATGAAATTTTGGCATGTCCCACCCTGCTCCAGGGACACCTGCAGTGTGGTGGTGGGTGGAAAAACCTTCCCCAGGGGCAGCTTTCCAACCACAGGCATGGCAGCCCAGTGGGCAGCCAGCTGCCCGGGCATGGGGCAGCCCTGGGCTCCATCCCTGGCTGGGTGCAGGGCCAGGCTCTGGGTCTCTTTCCCTGCTGGCCCTGGCTTGCCCTGCGGCAGCACAGATGGGGCTGCTCCCTGCCATGGGGATGTCCCTGTGGAAACAGAAGGGCCTGGCAGCACCAGCTCTCATGAGTGTGCTGAGAAGGAATGAAGCTGGGGTGAGTGATCAGCTGGGGGACCCAGTGCCTCCTGGCTGGCACACTGGCCCTGCCTGCCCTGGGGCCTGGGGGATGTGACACAGGGGACAGGACATGAGCCACCCTGCCCTTGCTGGTCCATGTGCCAGGCTGGAGTATTCATGTTTGCAACAGTCCGTCAGCACAGTGTCACAGGAGATGGTGTGCTGCCAGCTTTGGAGTGATAAGGACCCTGAAGTGACAAGGAGGCAGCTGTGTGATACCAGGGTCTGCTCTGCTCCCAGGTGTTCAGGATTGCCTCAGTCTGCACATGGTGTGGACATGGCTGGCTCGGCAAAGAACCAGAACCAGGCATAGGGTGCCCCAGCTTTGGCTGGCACTGGCCTGGCACAGGCCTCCCTTGCCAACACAGGGCTAAACCCAGCAGGAATAAACCTCAAAGGGCCTCAGGTACCCCTGCCCAAGGCCAGAGAGGCAAGAGCCACCAAAGGTACTTCCCCAAATGCATCCCACGACTCTGCCTTGTCCCTTGGCACATTCCCCGGTGAGCGTGCGTGCCTTCCGGTGCCAGGCGCGTGTGACATGGCTGTCACAGCTCTGCAGCCTCTCCCAGACCTCCCCCAGGCAAAAATCGAGCCATTCTGACAGACAGAGCAGCAGTTCTCAGGCACTTGCCTGGTCTCTGCTGTACCCCCAAAAAACCATCAGTCCCCACCTGAGCCCTGCTCCCAGCACGTGCCCTGTCCCCAGCATTTGTCCCGCATGGTCACTGAGACCCTCTTCCTGCTCTGGGAAATCTGTGCCTGTGCCACCCAAGCCTGTGCTCCAGGCACAGCCAGGGCACCCCCACCTGCACCCGCTGGCTGCCAGGCTGGCTGCCCGCCTGGCCAGGTGTGTGCCCGGGCAGTGTCCTGGCTCCATTGCCCAGGCAAACCCCGGGCAGGGACCCACAGGCCCCGGGGCCCAACCCCGACCCCCACCCCAGCGGTGGTTGTGGCTGCAGGAGCTGAGTGAACCTGCTGCTGTGAGCAAACAAACACGAGCCTGGCGAGAAAACAGCCCGTGAAGGCAGTGTGGGTGAAACTCTGGGCACCGGTGGGGCACGGGCTCTGACAATGATTAAACTGGCCAGCCCAGATTTCCCGGCAAGGCAGCGCAGGGCTGGGACCCGGTGGTTCATATTATGCAAATCACCTGGATCTGGGAGCATGAACGTTTGGGGCTGGAATTCCCCTCGGGCTGCCAGATTGTTACGCCGCCCAAGCTATAAAAGCAGAGGCACGGGCAGGGCTTGCCCATCGGCACCAGCCTCGCGGGGCCCATGAGCAGTGGCTAGTGCCAGCCCGGGCTCCTTCCCTCTCCGGCTCCTCTCTGGATTACCCGCCGCTGCTGGAGTTGCCACCACAGAAGGTACCAAAGCTTTTTTGCCGAGGCCTGTTGACGTCCCCGAGGCCAGGACAGCTGCTTTGCTCTCCTCCCCGTGCACTTGGCTCTCACCGGGGGATGCGCTCTGGCCTTTCCTCGCTGCACCTCGGCTCTCCCACCGCCGCTGGGAGCGAGGGCCCTGCGGGGCCCAGCGGGACAGCAGCTCCCCTCCAGCCCCCAGGCTTGGTAATGGACAGCGCGATCTGGCTTTCTGTGAGGGCCGGGCAGGGCTCGGTGCCCCCGCGGCTGCAGTGATTGGGATGTGCTCGCTGTGACCGCTGGAGAGGACTGGAGCTGTGGCACAGCAGTGGGCAGCGGGGCAGCGGCTGGGCCAGGGGGCTCAGGAGCGGCCGAGAGCCCAAACCCCACCCGCGGAGGGGCTGTGTCACTGTTCTCTGCCAGCCACCTTCTTGCTGTCACCTCCTGCTGGCTGGCAGCAGAGCGAGGCTGCTGGGGACAGGGCTGTTCACAAGCAGAGTGACGCCACGTCCCCAGCTCGCTCCGGCTCAGCCTCCCTCTGTGCTGGCCCCCGAGGAGCTGTGAGTCAGCCCCAGCCAGCAGGTGCTGGGTGCATATTTCTGCACAAGTGACCTGAGAGGTGACGATGGGTGGAGGGAGAGGCAGCCCCACCTCACCCAGCCTGGCTCTGGGCTGCTGCAGGTGCTGGGGGCCTGGGCTCACTGTCATCTCTCGGCACAGAGCTCCATGGCAGGATCTTGTGAGATCAGCAACATCTTCTCCAACTACATCAGCGCCATGTACCAGCCCGACGAGGTGCAGCCAAGCTTGGACATGCTGGGACAGCTTGGGGATGACAGCAACCTGGGGCTTAGCCTGCCAGCCAGCCAGCCCCCAGCACAGAGCACAGGTAGGAGCAGAGGAGTGGCACTGGGGAGCCAGCACATTGGGGCAATTGTGAGGCAGTGCCACTGGCTGGGAAGAGCACTGCAAGGTCCTTGTCCCACTGGGGCAGGTCAGCAGCTTCCACCATGCCTCAGTTTCCTCAGGGAAAGGCTGTGGGAGGACACCCTGGGTGGCACAAGGTATGGCTGCTGGGAGCACATCTTTTTATACAGAAGGCGGGGGAATCATTGTCCTCCTCCTACAGCACAGCATAGGGGACAGGCTGCCAGGGCTCACTAAGAGCAGTTTGGAAGTACAGTCATACTGGGGGCTCATGTGAGGGTGCTTAGGGAGACACCATGAGAAACACCAGGAGGGCAGGCTGGATCAGTGGTGATGGGGGCTCATGTGAGGGTGCTTAGGGAGACACCATGAGAAACACCAGGAGGGCAGGCTGGATCACAGCACAAATAGGACAAATGGCACTGAAACCAGTGGTGGGGGAAAAGGGGGGTCTGCAGGGCAGGGCACTATGGACCCTTTAGTCCCATAGCTCTTAAAGAGCAGGGCCTGTGTGTCCCTCAGGATCACCACTGGACCACAGCAGGTGTCCAGTGGCCACAGGCAGCCCACCTGAGGCACACGGTGCTGACACAGCCACCCTGCTCTGAGCCCTGCTCTCCATCCCTTGCAGACAAGCCCGAGTGGTTCAGTGAGCTCCCGTACTTCTGGACCAAGGTGCAGGTGCTGGAGTGGATCAGCTACCATGTGGAGAAGAACAAGTACGATGCCAGCTCCATCGACTTCTCCTGCTGCAACATGGACGGGCACACGCTGTGCCACTGCAGCAGGGACCAGATGCGCCTCATCTTCGGGCCCCTGGGGGATGAGCTCTACGACCGCCTGCACGAGATCAGTGAGTGCAGCAGGGTCTCTTTCACCTGCAGGCCCAGCAGCTTAAATAATCAGTTTGAGAGCCCTCCACTAGCCCAGGAGCCAGTGCTTCCTGGGCACTGCAGAGGCTGCGTGGGAGGGTGTGGGGGCACAGACCAGACCAAGCGTAGCTGGGCTCAGCTCCCCGCATGCACTATTCCCCTGCATATGGAACAGGCATTGCTAATCCCAGTCTTCACCCCTGTAGCCTCTGATGAGCTGAACTGGATCATTGATTTGCTGGAAAAAGAGGATGCATCTTCCCAGACCTTCCTGAACTCCAGTCAGCTGGGTAAGAGAGGGGCCCTGGCCAAGCCTTTTCCCCAGGGATCACATACTGATGGCAGCAAGGCTAACCCCTTCTTCCCTTCTCTGCCCCTTCCAGAGCTGGGAAATTCCTGCGCCAAGGACTCCCTGGAGGACTTAAAGCCCACAAACCCTTTCACAGACTTCACCTGCTTGCCTGGTTCCATGTCCCCAGGCAGCTCTGATGTCTCAGGTCAGTGTTTTGACAACGGTGGGTTTGGGTCTTGCAGCAGTCTGGTGGCAGGGGAAGGGTGGGAACAGAGGGAAAAGCCCCCAGATGCTCAGAGGTCTGAACCCTGATCCTTTGCCTCTCAGGGCCTGTGATGTCCCACAGCCCCAACTCTCAAGACTCCGGTGGAAGTGACCTCGACCTCGACCCTGCAGAATCAAAGCTCTTCCCTGATGGTGAGTTGTTTTCTTCCAAACAGGAGCTGAGAGGGGAGGGCTGGCTCCTGGGCAGTTCTGTACTTCCTACCTGGCAATGATTTAGGGGCAGCACCTGAACACCCATCCTCACAGTGAGAAGGAGGGAAAAGCCTGTTTCCCTGAGTGCTCTGCTTCTGTTTCTCTGTTGAGCAGGGCAATGGGCAGGGCAGTGGTGATCCTGTGGGAAGGGGTGGGTGGTGGCAGATGATGAAGACTGCATCCAGGGATCCTGGGCACAGGGGTTAGTGTTTGGTATTGATCCCAGCTGGTGATGACACTGGGAACACCGGGAATGCAAGGAAGCAGTAGGGTTTGGGGAAGGAGCAGCATGCTGCCCTAAGCATAGTGTCGGGGATCAGGCTGGAGGGAATGGGGTGACCTTGCTCTCAGGGGATATTTCCCTGGTACCTGGGCCTGAAAAGAGGGTGCTCTTGGTCCCTGGGAGGACAGGGAGGGGACTGCAGCCCAGCCTGACATGTGCCCCTCTCTGTGTGCACAGACCACTTTCCAGGCAGCAAAAAAGGGGACAGCAAACATGGCAAGCGGAAACGGGGACGGCCCCGAAAACTCAGCAAGGACAGCAGAGGCTGCCTGGAGAACAGGAAGAGCAAGCACTGTACGTGAACCTTCAGCCCAGGTGGTACCTGGGCCTGAAAAGAGGGTGCTCTTGGTCCCTGGGAGGACAGGGAGGGGGCTGCAGCCCAGCATGTGCTGCCCAGCCTGACATGTGCCCCTCTCTGTGTGCACAGACCACTTTCCAGGCAGCAAAAAAGGGGACAGCAAACATGGCAAGCGGAAACGGGGACGGCCCCGAAAACTCAGCAAGGACAGCAGAGACTGCCTGGAGAACAGGAAGAGCAAGCACTGTACGTGAACCTTCAGCCCAGGAGCCTCTCTTGGCTTCTTGGCTTCGTGGGGAGCGATGGGAGGAAGGGCCTTGGCAGGGGGGTTTAGGGTGATCCAAAGGTCCAAGGACCTGCAGGAGCTTCCCTGCTTTACAGCTCAATGTCCTCTTTCAGCCCCAAGAGGTACCCACCTGTGGGAGTTCATCCGGGACATCCTGATCCACCCCGAGCTGAACAAGGGGCTGATGAAGTGGGAGGACCGACAGGAGGGCGTCTTCAAGTTCCTGCGCTCGGAAGCAGTGGCTCAGCTCTGGGGCCAGAAGAAGAAAAACAGCAGCATGACCTACGAGAAGCTGAGCAGAGCCATGCGGTAAGTGCCCTACCCTGTCCTGCGGGGGGACTCAGCCCCACTGGGGCTCAGCCTGAGCCCTCCAGCAGCTCCTCAGAGCCCTGATTGCACCTCTGTGTCTCACAGATACTACTACAAACGAGAGATCCTGGAGAGAGTCGATGGACGACGGCTGGTGTACAAGTTTGGGAAGAACTCCAGCGGCTGGAAGGAAGAGGAGGTGCTCAACAGGAACAAGGAGCTGTAGGAGTCCTGGATGAACCAGGGTCTGACAAGCCCCTCAGGGCCAGCCCTGAGCTGGGCTCCTTGACAGGAAACTTTGCCTGCAGCTGTATGTGGAAGCTGCTGGCCCATGCAGCGTGTGGAATTCTGAGCCTCACATGGGCACGCTCGTGTGTGCGGGTGACTGCCAGCACCGACGTGTTCAGAGCCCATCTTTTGGCTCCAGTAGGTTATTGCAAACTGTGACTCCCTTGCTGGATCCGTACCTCCAGTTGGAGCCGTTGGGACTGTGGCTGTTTCAAAGCCTGAACAGATGCAAGGGGGAAGAGAATTTCAAGCCCCACTGTGAGAGCCCAGCAGGTCTCCTGCTATCACCCACCTCCTGCCTGGGCAGAGGAGCAGCACATCTGTCACCTGTGACTGAACAGAGCTTGTCCCAGTTGTGGGGTCTTCCCTCTCACTGCTTGCACCGTGCCAAAGGTGCCCCCTGTCTTCTTCACTGCATGTGGGTTGGGTGAGACCCCCTTTGTGTAGCAGCTTCTCGGTGTGGCACCTGCTGAGAGAAGATGGAAACATTGCGGAGCTTCACCCGGCCCCAGAAAGCCCTCAGTGAGTGAGAAGAGGACGTGGGACAGCATGCATGCATTTCGAGCCTGGCCTGTGTTTAGAGACAGGCCCTTTCTCCAAAAGTAGCTTCTAATTTAAGACCCAAAACAAGTACAGAGTGAATGTACAGATATATTTTTTCATGAGTAAGATGTTCCTGTGTGAGAGCGTGTGCTGTGGGGCACACAGGTGTGTGGTGGCAGGTGGTGATGCTCAGCTGGACTGAAGTGATGTCACAGGGCACAGACTGGTGCTGTGCCAGCCACGGAAAGGGACACCAACTCAGCCACACACCCACCAGGTGTATGTGGTTTTCTCATTTTCAAGTGGGAATATAAGATGAATAAATTGTTGGGTTTTTGTACCTATCTGTAATCTTTCTTGTTTTTCTTAAACACATGGTGGGGACCAGGCTTGTGTTACTTGGGATGTGCTATGGCCTGGACCTCATCTGCCACCATCTCCTGCCTGGTCATCCTGGCACAGAGTCACAGGGTCCTCCTCAGGGTGAGGTGGGCTTGTCCCAGACTGGCTCAAAGCCACCCATGGAGGGGCATCTCACACTCACTCCCAAACCTTGGCCCCTCTGAGAGCCCTCTGGAATTCCAGCCCTGGCACTTATCTTTCTGGACCCAGAGTTTGCCAGCTGCAGGCTGGTGGGAAGCAAAGCCCTGTCTGATCTGGGGAGAGGTTTCTCTAACACCCTCCACATTAATACCCAGTCACAGCCTGGGGGAGGACCTTTAGCCTCTCCCTGGCCAGGGAGACATGGAGGGTTACCAAGAAGCAGCACAGGCACTACAGGATGATTAATGCTCGCTCATCTCCGAGCCTGGCTGTTTTCTGGCCTCTTCCAGGACCTGGGTGGCACAAGGGCCACATCTCAGGAGGGGGGACTGCAGTGACCTGGCAGTGTGGGCAGCCCAAGCACATCATGTTCCCCTCCTTGCCCAATGCCATCTTGCCTCCCCATCCAGCCCAGCTGTGAGGAAGCCAGGAGGTTGTCTCAGGGATGCTGAGATGATCTCTCCAACCCACAGGATCTGTCTTGGGATGGCCAGAAGGAGTGCAGGGTGTTGGAGGCCAAGAAGACTCTCTGGTGTGTTTCTGCCATGAATGTGGCCAGCAGCAATAGCTCCTGGCTGCACACACTGCATTTCACAGTGAGTCTCTCTAAACACTGCTGGGCACCAGGGGGTTCTCGGTGCCACCCTGACCTTCTGCTGGTGCCCAGGACCTGCTGAATGGGCACTGCTCAGTTCCTGCTCACCCCCAAAGAGAAAAGCCCTGGGACCTGTCCTCTGAGCTTGGAGCTAGACAAGGTCTGGGATGCCCAGGCAAAAGCTGTGCCACATCCTTTTTTGTGGTTCCAGACACTGCCTGGGGGGGGTCTAAGGAAAGAAGCCAGAGCACCAGCAGGAGGGTGAGGGGAGGTTTTGCTGCCTTGACAGTAAAGGTACTTTGCAAAGCCTGAGATGCATTTTTGGCAGGGGGATCCAGCCATTATCACAGAGTCACAGAATCCTGGAACAGCTTGGGTTGGTAGGGGACATAAAGCTCATCTCATTCCCCACCCCTGCCATGAGCAGGGACATTTTCCACTGGCCCAGGGTGTTCCAAGCCCTGTCCAGCCTGGCCTTGAACACTTCCAGGGATGGGGCAGCCACAGCTTCTCTGGGCAACCTATGCTAGGTAGGATCTGACCACACCCATAGAAAATGTTTTCATAATATCTAATCTAAATCTCTTCTCTAGTAATTTAAAACCATTCTCCCTGTCCTATCTGCCCACGTTCCCCTACTGCCCTTCATTACTGCCAGAGACATGGCACTGTTCAACATCCCCCATCCAGCACTCTCAGGAGTGGGACACACTGCAAAGGAGAGCAGTAAGCCCTTCAAAGCAAGGTCTCAAACACACCATCTGGGCTGTCCCCCTGAGCTGAGCTGGCTGAAGCAGCTGAATTGCCCCCAGTCTGCCTGGCCTCAGCTTGAGTGTGAGGTAGGTGGCTTGAGCATCCTCCTAGAGATGCTGCAGTGACATCAAGGGCATGACCCAGCTGCTTTGCAGGGGCAGAAGTGCCCATGAGCCAGACCCATCTTCTTTTCTGTGGGTTTGGCTGCTGTTTCTGTATGGAGTTGCTCTGCTGGTCCACCTGGGATGCCTGGTCTCATAGGGAAGACCTTTTTCCTTGCCTTCCAGCATGCTGGGCTGAAGTTGTATTGCTCCCAGATACACACTGGGCTGAGGAGATCAGGGCTGCCCTGTGGTGCAAGAAGAGGTCCCAGGCCCTGGGTGTGAACCTGGAGCCAGTCCATGGTCTGGGCTGCAGCCAGACCTCCGTCAGGTTCCTTGCATAACCCTCCCCAGGGAACAGGTTTTCCTGGCTGGTGTCTGCTGGCTCCAGTGAGTGGAGGGTGCTCCAGCTCCATCCCTGACCTCCTGGAGCCCCTGCAGGGAGCAGGCCAGAGAGGGGGCAGGAGGGGCACAGGGGCAGGCACCAGGCCAGTGCCCGCTGGGCATCAGCGTGTCTGTGAGCAGACACAAACACAGCAGTGCAGCAAGGCCAGCCCCAGGCTGGGTCTCACAGGAGCTGGCTGTGCTCCTGGCTGCTGGCCCTCAAGTTTGGGGTTGTGGGTGAGGTGTTTATTCTCCGTAAATAGATAACCCCAGCAGGCTGGCAATGAGAGGGGAGAACTTTGTCACGCAGCCTGGTGCCCTGCCAAGCGCGCCTTGTTTGCTCAAGCAGTTTCATTTCTTTCCCGCTGCAGTTTGTGTTACCTAACTGGCCTGGGACAATGTTTAACCAGCTCCAACAGCAGCAGGGAACCCGTCTGCCTCGCCTCTGTGCCCTCAGTGTCCCCAGTGCCCATCGCTGCCACCCTACTGCCACTGTGAGAGGGTGGCACACCAGGCAGGAGCTTGGGGCAGAGGCAGGGTCTGTGGATCATAAAGTCAGAAGATGGTTTGGAAGGGAATTTATAGACCACCATGGTCCACTCCCTGTGCCATGGCCAAGGACACCTTCCAGTGCCCCATCCAACCTGGCCTTGGACACTTCCAGGGATGGAGCAGCCACAGCTGCTCTGGCTAACCTGTGCCAGGGCCTCACCTCCCTCACAGGGAAGAATGTCCACCTAAAATATAATCTAACCCTACCCTCTGTCACTGTGGAGCCATGCCCCCTTGCCCTCTGAGGTCCCCTAGTTGTGTGGGTACCTTGTGAGAGAGGAAGAGGAGGAGGCAGGGGTGTGTAGGCACAGACAGGGGGACCAGATCCTGCAGCCTCTCATGAAATCTGTGTGGGTCAGTGGGATGAAGAGCCAGGAAGGACTGGAGAGAGAGCAAGGCTAGAGAAATGCACACACACCCACCAACATAAGTGCACAGCCAGCACACACTTGGGGTAACCCCAACAGCCACCTCCAAGCCCATACAGAGCCACCCTAGCAGAGCCTCTCAGCAGGAGGCAGGAAAAACAGATGACTTGTTTATTTTATTATCTTTGGAGGTGCCTGGATTTTATGGCTGTGGCAAGCCATGACAAGAACTGAAGAAAAAGAGGATTTTCCTCAAAGACAGCCTCCCCTCACACTTTTACCCTGGGGTCTGTTGGCACACTTTTCCCATCAGGTTGAACAGGCACACAGTTCTCATGGAAATATCTTGGGCACCCCTCAAGTCTCAGCATTACACTCTAGTCTTCCTCAAGACTTCCCTAAGGGACACAGGGGCCATTGCTCAGCTCTGGTCCCACTTAGGGAAGAGAACAGCTTTCTCTGGCCACTGCTTCCCTCAGAGCTGTGGCCAAAAGCAGATTACTGAAAGTGGCTGAAATGCTCTGAGTGGGAGCAGAGAAATTGGGTGCGGGGAGAAGTTTCACCCAGACCAGCAAGAAGGTGTCCAATATCCCACATGCCAGACCATGAACTGCCCCTGAGCACAACAGCATGACCTGATTTTCCAGCCAAGCCAGACCGTGGCCATCCTTGAGCAGATCAGCGCAGATGGGAATGTGGTGGGGATGGGGACAGCCGTGGGAGGCAGGGACCATCTTTCTGGTCCTTCAAGCTCCCTGCAGTCCCTGCCGGCTTTCACCCTTCCTTACCCTTCTGTCTTTGCAGTGAGGGCAGAGCTCAGGGATGGCAGAGCAGGGAAGCCACTGTGGGAGCCACACACCCTTTGGAGAGGAGCTGGTCCCAGCAGGGGAGAAAAGGGTGTGGAGCAGGTGGAACCACTGCTGAGGGCTCTCGGGGGTGGAGTGTTAGTGGCTGTGCTGGGGGCAGGAGGGGGAATGTTTGGGGGGCCAGGCCGTGAGGGGTGGGGCTGTTACACACCTGCATTTCTGAGCATGGAACTGCGAGGGGAGGGCTGCTGCTCAGAGCAGAGGTGGAGGGCAGAGCTGCTGCCCAGGGGACACACATCACACAGGAGCTGGCAGGACAGTGCTGCCAGGGGCTGCAGCAGGGTGCTGCTGTGGCAGGCTCCAACCCAGCCTGCTGTCAGGGCTGGGCTGGCATGCCCAGGGATGGGCAGGCCCCTGAGCTGCATCCCTGCCCCCCGGGGCAGCAGCAGTTACCTGGGGGCACTTACCTGGGCTCCCAGAACACCCTCCCCCTGCCTGACAGTTTCTTTGATAACCACTTCCAGCAGAGCTGCCAGGGGTGCCTGCTTGGCCAGGGCAGCTGCCTGCTGCCAGGAGCTGGTCTGGCAACCTGGGCTGTTTGATTGTTTAGCAAGAGAATGGCTGTTCCCACTGGAGGAATGGGGAAGCTGGTGCAGCTG